GAAGATGTTATTCCAATCCGTCGTTGACTGCATCTTGGCGATTTGTTCCGGGACGTTGCGTGATGAAATTGCCCCAAATTTATCTTTGGATGGGAGGCACTCTGCCTTCCAACAAACAGTTCATTTCATTTTTATGGAAATTCTCTACATAAAATGAAGTTTAGAAAGCCGGTGAATCGTCAATATCGACCGGCAATTTTTTCCATATATGACACTAGATGATTACTGAAATGAGCAATGATTAACTGTAAATTTGTTCATCCACTTATTTAGATGAGCTGTCTTTACATGTCCTGCGAGTTCCATAACTTTTCCCAACAGATTCATTGGCTGAGCTTGTCGTCCAAGGAAGTGGACGTATCCGCGTGTTCGTTTGGCTGCGGTAATTGGCTAAATACTCTGAAACCTCATTCTGAATGTCAACATGGGTACTTTATCCATGTAGTGAGTATGTAAACCCATTTCTTCCTTTTTCTCCTCCAAGATCGTTTTGATTGTATCGGGATTCCCTTTAATGTTCTTTTTGTATGCAACTAGGACACATATTTGGAGGCAGCAACTCGTAGAGAATCTGTTGAACTATTATAAGTCCGGAAGCTGTCATGTTCTAACTTTCTTTTTTTTTCAAAGGTTTGCGTTAAATATCCTCACGGTTTCTCAGCTGGGACTTGTAAAGAAAAAATCGTTGGCGTGTACCAGTGGGCATGTTAAGGCCGGGAGCAGATGATGTAGACCGTATGAGACTTGCATAGAATCTGTGCTGTGGAGTCCATTAAGCGATAGATATAGCTGTTCTACCGCTATGAATGTGAAGGGCACAAAGAATAACATTGTATTCACGAAATTATTGGTGGCACCTTGTGTCTTTCCTATCCTTTGCCGATTCTGGTAAATTCTTGTCTGATGCTGGTCTTATCTGGCACAAAAAGAATGACACCGTCGTCGAGTGGACTCCACCAAGGCGGTAGACAAGAATGTGATCGGTCTGCAAATGAGTCGTGTCTTTCGGGGAACGTTAAAAGTTTATAGACTTTAATGTTGGAAAAGGAATTTCCATAGATACGATGAGTCTCATGGAATACACCCGCAAGACGTTTCTCATTTCAATTCAATACTAATCATTAGTCAGTAAGTGGTCACTTGCAACTATTGATCACAAGAGGTTGAGTGGATAGGTATACAAGGAGCCAGTGTGCTTCGTGTGAAACGGTCATCGTCGGTATGAATAAAAGTCTCGGCGTTGATCAATCCCTGAGGGATACGCCATGCATTCGACTTCACTAAGTATCGTTGGAGGTGATTGAATGCATATCTGGTCTTTACAATGACTCGCGGTGGCCTACCGATTTATCGAGCCAGTGCTGCTTTCCTCCCAGACAAATCTGGTATCAGTTTGGCGACCCCGGAAGGATGGAAGGCTTGGTGGGCCACGGGCGCAGGGATCAATTCCATGTGTGTGTTGCAGGGCGCCTCCGACCACTGCGCCAACACGCTTCTATCATCGTCAGGAAGTACGATTATTTATCCATCTTGCTGCTCTAACTCCTGTTAGATTGTATGCTGTGATGTATGAAAAATGATATGAATTTAATCAAATGTCTGCCAAGTATTTGTAAGCTAAAGTTATTTCTAGACAAAACTCTAAACAAACTTTTTTATTCCAGCTTTTCATTAGTAAACTACAACAAGAACTCAGTGTTTGACTTTCATAGATGGTTCTCAATCACCTGCAATTGAAATAAGAAATATGTGTGTACGCCAAAATGAGTGAATGATTTGAGGAAGTAAGAGTGCTTGCACTACCGTACCATGAAATCTACAGTTTGACTGGATCCCATTTTGATGTCGGAATCGGTCATTTGCTAGAAGTTCCGTAAGGAAACAGTAAAGAAAACGGATTTGATGCGGTTATCTACTATTTCTGATGGTAATATTTTCACTTTTTAGTGTTTTACTACTCGGTGTACGTGAAGCAGAGCAATCTCGATTGAAGCAAACGAGCCGGTTCCGGGCACAAGCGCCTCTGGTCATCACTTATCGTCGGTCGTACACCATTCCCTCATGTCAAATTTCCTTGTTTGATCTGCGCTACTCACTACGCACACTCACTTCGGCCAGCTCAATAGAGTTTATTCTGTGCACCATCGCAACCACTGAATGATTCTCATCATGTTTCCAACTTCCTGCCGTCATTTCCCATCTTATGTGGTAAGAGTTCATGACATCTTCTTGTGATTATTACTTAGAAATTCCATCCTAGTTCTTTGTTGAATATTACTCTGTGAAATGATAAACGATAAATTATGTGAAAGAATAAGCTGTTACGAGACAAAAGTAATTGAGAACTTTGGTGTAGTAGGAAATAAAGCGCCAAATGCGAACAGGTTGTTGTGCAGACCACAGGTAAATCAAGGCTTTGTGGTGCACCAGGATGAGTTAACTCGTATGAGGATTATACATGAAATTATAAACGGTAGATTTTATGTAACTGCTTCTCTATCAGACGAGCTGCGGAAGGACGAGACCGTGCGTCGCATGCGTCAACAGGCTTATGAACGGGCGCTGCAGTTCTACTGCGTTCAGCAATAGCTGTGTTGAGCTGTCAACTTATCATGCCACTCTAAACGGAAGTTTCTTTTTGGAGGAGACGGAATCCGAAAACGACAGGCGGACAGTTATAGAATTCTGTTTTTCACATATTTTTTTCACTTTCTCAATTTCAAGACAAATATTTGTTAACGAGTGCAATCTAAACTATAAATAAAGAACAAGGCGTTGGGTTTCCTCAATCGTTGAATGATGGACCACGCATTCGACTTCGTCAAGCATAGTAAAAGAGATTGAATGATCGAGCTCACGTGATGACTCGTGGTGGTTAACAGATCAAGGCACTGTTTCTGTTCGTAGAAAATTTGGTAGCAATTTGTCGATCCCGGAGGGATGGAAAACTTGGTAAGCTCTGGACGCGGGATGGAGCCAAAACCGATCCAGTGGGTTTTGCAGGGCACCTTTAACCACTACGCTTCATACACCCATCAAAACCCAAAATCAAATTGAAGATAATGAAACAAATGCTGCAAATTTAAAATTTCGAGAAGAGTGCAACAAAAGAAAGCATTCTGATTTAGAGAATGTCGTCAATCTCATGAAGTTAGAGCGTACACATGCCATTATTGAATAATTTTGTCTCGAGGAAACTCAGAAAAGTGAAACAAGGGCATCGTCCGGAAACTTTGGCACCTCTCAGAAGCTTTTATAAAATAGTATCATCAGTCGAAAAATTGGCTCTGAGTCAACCCATTTACTAGTTCGCTTCATTCGCTCAACAAAACCAATACGAGGCTACGAAAACGAGATATAAGTGACCTGAACAGTTCAATTGTTGTGAATACTTGAAAACTCCGCTGTTTAGCTTATAGGAACGATTGTATGTGAAGTCGACATCGTCGGGTGGATGAACTGTGCTGTCTATCGAATCATGCAAAGAAGCAGCATGGAGAGGTAGTTGTATCTTGTGATGGGTTTCCATGTTCGACTTCGTTTTTTGCCATAATGGACGACACGTTGATCCATAAGTTGTTCTGAATATGACTTTGAGACTTTCGCTACGAAAATGCTTTACCACTTGTTATTCATTGAATCAGAGATTTTCGTTTTCAACTTCCTGCTATCCCTCCATTAGTCGGCGTTGTGTTTAATGTGGAGGCCGCTGCTTCAGTGGATGCTCAATTACTGTTCAGCTAACATGTATTCTTTGACTGATGAGCCAACGCGAGATTGATAAAAAAAAAAAAGAAAAGCTTTGTTCGGCTAACGTTTCGACGCCTTTGCCTTCTTCACAGCAGGATTTCCCTGAATGGATTGTCCACAGTTGTTTCTCTTAACGAAGTGGATCTTCGTGATCGTATCGAGTCAAATCCAATTGGGCACCTCATGAACGAATGAAATAATCTCACTCGGCGGCGCTCTTTCATACAGGACGGTTGCCGATAGTGATTGTCTGTTGACAATCGTTTGCTTTTCTCCGGCGAACCCATCATGTAGCAGTCGGCACCATTATCAACTAGCACATAGCGTGACAATATTTCAAAAACCGACTTTCTTTCAATTTTTCCTCTAGCAGTGTTGTTACGTAGTCCAATAATTCACACCGAAGTGTATTCAACAAGGAGCATTGAGGGAGCATTTCGCCAAATAGCCATTCGTTTCGCTAAGTGAATGGACACACAACCCATTGAATACATTGCTATTGTTAGGCAAATCAATAGAAATCAGTAAAATTTGGGATAAAATTTAGGATTTCGAACGACGAGAAGATGACGAAGGGTGTTCTCGCTGTTCCTTCGTCTCTAATCGAAATAAATTATCACATTTCGCTTCAACCACACACGAATTTTGAAAATGAGGATGTACTGAGCAAACGATGTTTCGCGCTAACGTTCCATCTTTCACAGACGGCTGCGAAAATAAGCGGCGAAACCTGATGAACAGTTCTCACTCCACTTGCACGAGTGGCGAATAAGGCATAGAAACTGCTAACATGTGATTGTGGCATCAAAAAGCATATCGAAATGGTATTTCAAAACCGACTTTCCTTTAACCTCAGTATGACTAATCAATATACATTCCTTCTTTGATAAGCTTACACGAGGTTGATAACATTATTTTCGGCTAACGTTTCGAAGGTATCGCCTCGATGCACCAGGAAGACGCCACCTCGAGAAAATGAACAACTGTGGACCATCGCCTCGGATCAGCCGCTCTGATGAAGACGATACCGTCGAAACGTTAGCCGAGAAAAAAGTCATCAACCTCGTGTAAGCTTACCAAAGAAAGAAAGCCGATCCAAGCAATCAACACTTCATCAGAACAGATGAACTGACGGTATAGCACCTATCTGAGCTGAACAGTGATTCAAAATGGAGTGGATTGAAAGCTACTGACATAACTCCTGATTCGTTTGTACACATACACCTACAGGGCGTTCATTATGTACGCGAATGAGGAATAAAAAGTTTTCTCAGCTCAAAATTACGAAGTGAATGGGAAAATGGCATTAAGTTTTTGTAACGTTTATTGCCAGGCATAAACTTGTTTATGTAATACACATTCCACACCGGCTGATGTTTTTGTACATCTCAGCTCTTTACTGAATTTGGAAGCGAGTGTCTCACAAGTAGAAGAGAAAGGAAATGCACTAATCATTTATGAGATGAGGCTGGTACAAAAATGCAAAGTGGATTAGTGCAAGAAGAGGACAAGATTTGATTGAGAACGCTGCAGATGCGAAATGCCCAGACATTCCCAAGCGAGTCGAATGACTGAAGAGTGCCCTCCTTCCTTCGTTTGCGCTCGTTCTTTCCCACGTTCACTATGTAGTTCTGGTGAACGATAAGCGCAACAAGAATTCCCACGTAGAATTTATCATCGAAACCTTATTGCCAAGTGTCAAAGATTGTAGCATTCTTTAAAAAAACAAGTACGGAAAACTTATAAATCTTGAGTCCCGCCTCCACGTCAAAATATCTCCATTCGTTATCGTGCAGTAATAAGATGCACTGAGTCTCTTCTCCACAAGGGGAAAAAACCGAGAGGAGTCGCGTGAGACGTGCCTGTCTGCGGAAAAAGAGCAGTGGCTCGTGTGCAGCCAGTTTATGACATCGAAGCTTGCCTAGGGTGTTTGTTCCGCTACGGGCCAGTGCTGGCAGATGCCATCGACGTCCACGACACGAGAGATCGAGTCGAGTGATGAGTGCTGATAATTGATGCATCCGATTATCGTCGGGTCGGCCCGGAGCGACAGAGCGCCGGCCGGCGAGAGCCGCCGGCTCGGCCGCCAGACACGCAGGGCTCCGGGCCAGCGCGGTGGGCGGCCGCCGGGATCGATGCTGTGCGAGTGCGGCGACGGCCGGCTGCTCCGTGTCCTGCTCGGCCTGCTGGTACTGCTGCCGCAGGTCCTGGGACAGGACTCGCTGTCTCAGCTTCTGTCTCGTCTCGACGACTCGCACCAGTGCGGTCGTGCGATCTCGGCCGGTCGACTGCTCTCGACTACGATCAACGCACAGTTCCCGCGTCTGATCCCGCTAGCGCGATTCTTTGCGGAACATCCACGTGACTTCGACGCCACCTTCTTAGAGAACTCTTCGATTGACATCAAACTTCCGCTCAAAGTTAATCTGACTGGTCAAAATCCGCTTTACGCTCTTGAATACAGCTGCAAAGATGGGACGGACCGATGGTTGCCGACAATTATTTTCCCTACAAAGGACCCTAATACCACCACTCGAAGGGCCTACTTGACACTTCGAATGGAATTCGATTTAGATCTGTGCACCGCTACTCCATGTAGTACAAAGGTACGTGGTTTTGCTAGAATTTTTCATCGTTTCAACATTTGCAGTGTATTTATGGGTAAGAGAAAGTTTTTGTTAGGGATGTTTCTCTGCGATGTCTCTTCATATTTCTTCTTATTTTTGATTGACTTTTATTTGATTTAGTCGGGCAAGCCAGCCTTTCCATTTTGTTTTTCTTCTGCCTGTCGTCGTGGACTTTTCCTACTCTATCTTTGATCTAACCACCTGATTCGTTCGCTCAAAGAAGTACTATTCGAATTTATTTGCTAACAAACATCACCCACATGCAAGTAGATTAACATGGGTGGATCGGGCACTCTCCATTCAGCAGTATAGGCCTCGAGCTTCTCTCGGATTACAAGTTCTTTCCGGTTACATTCGCTTGAACTGTGGGCAATTCTGGACATTTTTCCGCTTTATCGTCTACCCCTATCCTTATGGTCAGAATTCATGCGCGACACATCCCGTCGAGATGCAATCGTGCTTCTCCTGCCGATCTTCAACTCTATAAGGGCCCTCCGTACTCGTAGAGTTGCCGAATCAATTCAACAGCACTCACTTGCATGTCGCTCTCGAACAGCCGCGCACTTACTAAGACGTTTTAATGCATTTTTCGAGTAATTTACTGTAGACGTTTAATGAGACTGGTTTTCTTTTTTCTACAGAAAGTAAAACAAGCTGCGTTCAGATTTTACATAACGCATAGTTTATAAAAAACATGGTTTTTTGCATAATTTTTTACAAACCTTACTCATTTCTAGGCGGTGAAAGCAAATAAATTGTTTGTAACCATGTGGGTAGTCCGCAGGTGTCTTCGGTAAGGAACGAACCCCTTAGCCACTGGAAAGGGTAATAATAGCGCGTTCGTTCCCCACCGCAGGCTCCTGCGGTCCGAAGTTTTGCAAATATCTCAGCACCACTGTGGTTGCATTTCGCATAATATCCTGTCATGAAAAATTGTAGAAAGCAGCAGATAAAATGTTAACATGTGGATAGTATTTTTTAGCCCACGGACCTTTCAATGTCTCACATCTTCCTCTTATGATTTCCTACTTCATGATTATCGTCACTTCCTACTGCACTTTAAATTCGCTCCCATTTCCACTGAGTTATTCTATGTCTGGAGTCTATATACTCCACTGAAACTTATGGATCGATCTATTTATTTCCATGTGTTCCATGGGACTGACCATCCTTATGTCAATAACGGATCCTGTTCCCTATCTAGTAAACACTTGGTCTTTCGAAATTATCTAATTTCCATCTATATTTGTATTGAGAGACAAGCGAAACGAAGGACCTGCATGGTATGATGGTAAACGCCTTTGTCCTCTGGAAAAGGTAATAGCGCTTTCGTTCCCCACCGCAGACGCCTGCGGTCCAGAGTTTTGCAGATATCTCAGCACTGTTGTGGTTATATTTGTATTGCCATGTAAAATCATTTGCTTAGTAGTTTTTTCTGCTTTTCGTGCATACGCGGTATAATTTAGCCTCATTGAGCATGCGCACGTTAGCCTTTGGGCTCGGTCCACACAGTGTAGGAGTTTCAGACTGCCGTGATACTGCATGAGCGCATTTCCTCTTCGTGTGATGTATCAACTAGTTACATCTCCACGCATAATCTCGCTCTGCATAACCTTACTTATGTAAATTTTCACATTTTATTCAATTTAGTGTACATGGACGGTGCATGGCGGATTGAGAGTCCTAGCCAAGACATGTTGTGGCAAAGGCGAAGATACAGCGCTCTGCAGAACCGATTCAGACAGAAGTAAGCGCTACTTCTTCTCTTCGTTATTAGGCAACCCTGAAAAGCCTTGATCTTGAGATTCTGTGACAAATAGCGTTAGTGAAATAGAAAAGTCATGCAAAAAATAGTTTCAGGGCTTGTGCTTCGGTTTGTTTATGAAATTCGAACACGCTTCATTTTTCTTGTTGTTGTTTGTATAGAATGCTTCACTAAACCCTCTCTAAGGGGTGCGTTTTTCTTGATAGTACTAGTTACTGCAACAATCCTATACGAAAAGGAACGTTGTGATAAACTAGTGAGGTCGGTTTTCGCACCGGCTCTCCTCTATTTATTTTCTTTCGGAATAGCGTGAGCAATTCCCATCTCCAAAAAGCACTCTTGAAACATCCACAGAACTCCTTCGTAGAGAGCTCATAGTCATCGACTCATCGAGAGTCGTAACTTCATCAAAGTTTGGGATATTGTAAAAGAATCCAAAGGAGACTTGTTATGTGTACACTAGCCAGGAAAACCGTTAAGAGGTGTGCTTCAGACAGGCCGATGCTGCTGGTGGCGAACGCGGCGTGCGCGTCTGCCTGCTTGGCGCTGATTCCCATCGTGTGTCGTGCTCGTCGTCGCGGTCAAGAGGCTCGCGGATGGGCTCTCATGGAGTTGTTCCTCATTGGAGCCAGCATTCTATACCTAATTGTAAGACTTACTAACTTTCTACTTACCCTTTATATCTTTGGTCTCCATAAAACAGAAAATAGAAGTTCGTATTGAATAGTAGAGGCAAAAAGTATACTTGCAGTGAAGAGGCATGAAATTCTCTCCGTTTATTTTTCCCACATTTTTCTGGTGTAATAGGGAAGTTGATATTTTAGTGACAAACCTACTTTTGCTAGCAGTGAAAGATGACGCTTGACAAATCCGGAGTTCTTTCTGTCCTGGTTGTAAATATGCTCTTAGAAGTAACCGTACAATGAGTTTACTAACGGGGTGACTAACTTCGTCCAAATGACGTGGATATAGGATTGAATTAAAAACAGTTGTCTCATCTCATTATGTTTCAAGTTTGACGCTGTGCTCCTGCCTTTGCCGTACCTATGGACATGTTGAGTTAGTGCAGAAAATTCTACCGTATTTTAAGCCAACTAAGTCTATCGCTCTTTCCAAAATCAGCAAATTTGGTGGCTTATCTCTACGCCTGTTGATGAAACACTAATTCATCTATTGACTAGCTTTCTCTGTATAGGTGTTATTACATCTTCCCTACTTGAACAAACTTTCGATGAAGTACAAATGTTGCGGACTTTCTCTGTATACCGATTTTTATCCAGAACATCAATTTTGTCCTTGTATTCCTGTCGACAAGCCCAGTTCTACCAAATTTTCATTGTTTCTGGATACGCTCTACTGACTACAAAGTTAGGACAAAGTACTAGTCTTACTCTTATTAGTCTATCGAGAACGTGACAGATGAGCAGGTTATGAAAGGCTTCTGTGAAGCGCTTTCTGTTTTCCTTCTGCATTTTGTGCTTCTTAGGGTCTCATTGTGTAGGTTCATTTATGCGTCAGGCTTCGCAGTGCAATTGTCGCAATCACTCATCTGCACGCTCCCATCGCGACATATCGCGACATTTCCGAATAATTTACAGTATCTTGACAATGGTCATCTTGAGGAATATAGATCTCATACTAACGAAGATATAGGCGGTTTAGGTTTGAACTGATGCATTGGTCAGCGACTTGAACTGGAATTATGCCAAGTTAGTCTAAAACACACAATTAACATATTTTGAATTTTGTACTATGTGTTCGACCGCCATGTTCGAGCATATCCGCTCAAGAAGATGAGATTGTGAACATATATTTAACTACTACATTCTATGGTGGGGCGCATGTAGCGTAGTGGTTAGAGGTGCCAAATACACACATAGTCGTTAGCTCGATCCCTTTGGTCTCACCAAACCTTTAGTTACCGTGGGATCCTGAAATTGGTACCGAACTTCTCTGAGAGGATGACATCACTGATTTAATAATCCGTAAGCCATCGCAAGTCGTTGTAAAGGCCACATATGCATTCATTCACCTCTAGCGATGCTTGCTGAAGTTGAACCCGTTACGCGTACCTCATGGATTGATTAACGCCGAAAGCTTTATACTTTATCCATCATTTCATGTTGATGTCATCCAGTAAAAAAACAAGTGTGTGTGTGCTGATTCTGGACCGCAGGTGTCTATGGAGGGGAATGAACGCAGTATTGTCCTTTCTGGGATGTAACGTGTTCACCACCACACCATGTGTGTCGGGTCCTCTATCGATCTCTGCTGCTGACTAGAATTGCTGATATCGATAGGACTAGATCGATAGAGATCGATAGAACTAGCTGAGAGACAGGCGAAACGAAGGACTCACATGGTGTGGTAGCGAACTCGTTACTCCTCGGAAAGGACAATAACGCGTTCGTTCCCCTCCATAGACACCTGCGGTCCAGAGTGCTGTAAATATCTCAGCAACGTTGTGGTTGTATTTCACTTAGTACCCTGCCATGAACATTGCAGTAGGCAGGAAATAAAAGGTAAAACATTGTGCTGATTCTGTTATAAGGCTTGATAAAGATGAAGAGTGAGAGTATTCGGCAACACTCAGTCAAGGAATTCATCTTTTCGCAGATGCTATTCTGCCTTCCTCATATGGAGCTCCAGATAGAAAGACTGATGATTGGGCTGGAAGACTACTTTACGTCGTAATAGGTAAGCAAACGTTTCGGGGGAAATATTAAGGATATGAGTGGTGAAGAATTGTGTAAAGTGTTATTTTAATAAAGTATGCCTTGAAGTGCTACAATGTTCCTGAAATAAGAGGACATTGTGGATCTTCCGTTATGGATTAGAGGCGATTCAAGGCGTTTTAGAGTAGCCCTGGTGTTTGGTTTCAAAAATACTGTCGATGAAAATCAAAACACTGAAAAATACTGTCGATTCTATTCTCGACAGCATGTATACCATTCATCAAATCGCAGGCATCATGCTCATCGTTTGTCGTGCACCGTCATGGGTACCTTCCAGGAATGTTACATTGGTAGTAACCTGAGTTAGACGATCAACGTTTGTCATTTTCGATTAATAATGTCCTCATTAGGATTCCGTAGCGCAGTGTAATAAGCCGCTTCGTTAGCCGACAACGCTATGCCAACTGTACTCTGAATCTGTTCAACTATGTGCATTGCTAGTAAAGTATTTCGTAGAACACAAGCCACATCGGTTAGCACTTAACATATCGGTCAAACTGCGACTGCTTTGTTCTTTTATAGTAGAATGTTTTTCGCCTTATTATTTAAATGAACAAGCCATGTTAACTCAAAATGCTTGGAAGGAAGTTTTCGGTTAGTACAGTGATGCTGTCTAGACGATCTCATTGGATAAAGAACTGATCGAAGAGTAACAACTTTTCGCAACGGTTTCATCGAGAATCTGGCCACACAGACATTTTCCTTTGTCTGCAGTACGAATCAGAAAGTTCAAATCTTTTCGAAGTGTCGATTTTTCAGAAAAGAAGAGGAAACATAAGTGATTAGATTAAGTTCGTTCTCATGTTCTCTGTGAATGGGTTGTGCTTTCGCATTTTTCAGTGTGCCTGTCAACTGTTGGAAAGGGATTAATAAAATTTCCGGATATAACCAATCTCATTGGAATGCGTTGTCACACGTTTATAAAATCATCAGCAAATGTTCAGAGTGTAAAATCGGAGTTTCACGGAGAGACTACTCGATATATGTATATACTACATGTATATATGTACATGTGCATATATATATATGTTCATATATTTATATACATATATATATATATATAGGGCACGTGTGGCGCAGTGGTGGGAGGTGCTCTGCAACATGCATGTGGAATCGATCCCCGCGTCCATGACCCACCAAACATTCCATCTCTCCTGGGTCGGCAGATTGGTACTAGACTTGTTTGGGTAGATAGCAGCACTAGCTCGATACATTGGTAGGCCACCGCGAGTCATTGTAAAAACCAGATGTGCATTGAATCACCTCCAACGGCACTTAGTGAAGTTGAATGCATGGCGTATACCTCAGGTATTGATCAACGCCGGGAGAGCTTTATATATAAACATACATATGTATATGCATGTGTATATGTATATGTGTTTATAATATGTACATACTCATTCGAGCGGTGCTCCACTGAGGAAGATCTGACTCGATACTATAAGGGAGACACCACATCGAGAGAAGCGAAGACTGTGGAGTGGACATTGAATCGGTTCATCGGATCTGAGGAAGTTGAAGAGGTGGAAACATTAGCCGAATAAATATGTGGTAACATCTCCGTGTTAGCTTATCAATGAAGTAAGGTATGTATATATATATATATATATATATTTATTTATTTATTTATTTATTTATTCAGTTTCTTTTGCAACTTTCATTCAGCAATCTCTTTAACGGAAAGTTCATTGTTGTGTTTTGTTAAGCACTATTTGCCTATAAGTAGTTTCACCTGTAAATTAGAGATGGGAATATCACTCAAATTCTCCACGTAAAAAGCACCTTGCAGTGTACATCTGTCCAATTACCGTATAATCACATCAGAGGACAACTTCCAAGTTTCATAATATTTTACAGATACAATCTTTTCTGTTAAGACCAACCCAAGAAGTGTTTGTCGCTTAGTGCTATTAGCCCTTCTTTCCTGCCAACCACAGCACCTCCACATGATGGCATAGGCGAATCGTTGTTTTGAGGAAGTGACTGTTCTTCCAGGATAGCACCGTATCCATCGTATCCTATGTTTTCTGTGCTACATCATCATTTTATTCCTCTGGAAGCTTCTGGAACGAGTCGTTCTTTTTATCGTGCTATGTTAGTGCTGCGTTTAAGAGATTACTAAAGCACACATTGTTTGGGTAGAAGCCTGTAAGTGATGAAACTGGCGTTGCTTGTAATTATTTGCAACATTTTGTGGTTCAGTTTATCATGCTAAGTTTATCTAGTAAAGTATTCCAGAATTGAAGTCTTTTTGAAATTATGAAGAATGACGGAAGTACTTCGTTCAATGTTGTGAAATTGTCCAGAATTCAAATTACTGAGCTTCAAACCTCCGATCCGCCTATGCAGATGAATTTTTATCTTACGGAACTGCTTAAATTCAGTGCTAGCTTTGCTATTTCTGGTTACATTGTTTATCTATTCGTTGTCGATTTTTTCCAGCGCTTTGCTCCAGGTAAACGTTGTTAATGTTTAAGAAATAGCGCCGAAGTAGGCAGCTTACCTTAACTGTGGACGACAGGAGAATAGTATTTTCTTGCGAGGACTGCACATCTAAGATTGTTGAGGGCAATACGTGAAGCTAAATGTTTTATTTTATGTTCCTTTATTAGCAGACAGGTGTAGCGCAGTGCTTAGAGGTGTCCTGGAATACACAGTGAACTGATTGCTAGCTCGAGCTCGTGGCCAGGCTCATCGAGTCTTTAATCCATCCGGGATCGGTAAATTAGTACCAGACCTATAACACAAAATGGCACCTCTAACCTGACTACCGCGAGTCATTGTAGACGTCAGATATGCATTCAATCACCTCCAACGGTGCTTAATAAAGTCGAGTGCATGGCGCATCCCTCCGGAACTGATTAACATTTAACATTGTATCCTCAATCTTAACCCTTTTATTTACTGCCTTCTTCTTTTTAATGGCAGGGTATGTTGCGAAATATCAAAATCACCGCATACACCTGCGGTCCGGAGTTTTGCAAATATCTCGGCATTATATACTGTATCCTCAATTCTCTATGTGATCGAATAAGTATTTCGAGAATTTCAGCTGCTCATCGACTGGTTCGTTCCGCCGCAAGCCGGTTGTTGTGTGGCCGTTTGGTTGCGTCAAATCGGTTTCAGCACTTTTTACGGATCCATTGTGCTCAAAATTTACAGGTGACGAGATTTCTAGGAGTCTACATCCTCGATCTAGGCCTCGGTGTTCATATCAGCTAATGCGACTCGTCATTAACTGGCTACTACTACTAGATAATTTCCACTTTTTGCGAACCTTAAGAGGATTTTAACTTATTATTTACTGCCTACTCTTTCTAATGGCAGGGTATATTGCGAAGTATAACTTCAATGATGCTGAGATATTTGTAAAACTCTTCCCCGTTCTTCGTTTCGCATGAAGGACCCGCATGGTGTGGTGGAGAACACGTTACTCTCCGGAAAGGACAATAGTACGTTCGTTCTCCACCACAGATACCTACTGTCCGGAGTTTTGCAAATACTCAGCATCATTGTAATCTTAAGAGGTTTTATATTTATTGCTCACCGTTGACGACTCATAACTCTTAAGGGTTTCTTTCCAAAATATTCGTTATGAAAAGTTCATCTTTGGAATATTCTCTATATCGTTCATGTATTTAGGAATTTGCAAGAATACCGTGTTAGAAAGGCACAGCATGTTTCGGTTAGGGAGAAGGATATGGTGAAATATCTGGTCGGTATGCTCGCTCTCACAATAACGGGTTAGTTCATTCACTTTAACTCTTTGGTTCATCTATACACGAGGAAATTGGCTTTGAATATCAAGGTGCCGGCTAATATGTATAAGAAACGGCTCGGCAACTGACTAAGGTGGCGTGTCAAACTACTGTAATATGCAATTGCTTTAAGAAAGGACAAACGAGTGTCCATTGAGAATTTGGAGACTAACACTTCGGATAAAATTCTCAGTGCTGATATTTTACAATGCTATTTTCTGGAGCTATTTCTGTGTAGTGACTAATTACTTGAATATTGGCTGCTCTATCTGGCTGTTATACTGAAAACGCATCAAATTATTTAAATAGTGGATTCCTGCTTTCCAATTTCACCGTCTTTTATCGTTTTAATGAAATGCGATATGGTCTTACATAGCATAAAACTTAAATGTTGTAATACCTTCAACATTCGAATGTTTGATTGTTTGTGAATTTTTACTCTTTGGGGTTCGTTTCAGGTTTAATGGCGTGGACGGTGGGGTCGTGGGGTGACTCGGCATTATGGAAAACGGCTTGGCCTCAGTGTCGGATGCAGGGCTGGCACATCATCTGGCACTGTTACGAGCTGCTGTTTCTACTCTACGGCATGCGTCTTTGCTATAAGGTAGGTTTGCTGCTCGAAGCCAATTTCAATAGTGTTTGTTCGGTTTCTAGCTGTTTTTATCTTGAAAAGATTTATTCACTCTCCATTAATATTTCGTTGTTAGGAGCGAAGAAAATATGCGGTTCCATTGGTAGAAACTTGGAGAAGGGTCTAGCAATTTTTAGTTCCTTCGCGTTAAAATTTGAAACAGAAAAATCCAAGACGTTCTTATTTACAGGCCAGAAATAGCGACTGGTTAGAGCGATGGCAATTCACAGTAGCGGTTTGCTTGGAAGCCGTTATCACGCTCATGGCCAACCTCATAAGGTGACGCTTCTCATTCGATGTTTAGGTTTCAGTATCATTCCGATATCAACTTTGCTAAGAGAACACGTATTGGAAAAATCGTGAGTGCCTTATGACTTCTGATCTCCAGATATTCGATCCGCAATTCTGCGCACAGCGACACCTTGTTCACGATTTCGTTCGTGCAGTTGCAGCTGACCGTCTCTGTGAACATTGTGATCATCATCGCACCGAAGTTCTACTTGGTCAGTCATTTCATGGATTTCTGCTCATCTGGTGTGGATTTTAATAGCATCTTTCGGATAACAATAATTTTCGAGTTCTTTATACTAATGGGATAATGTTTAACGTTTTGTTTTCTGCCTTCTATAATTTTCATGGCAGGTTACTAAGCGAAATACAACCACAACGTTGCTGAGATATTTGCAAAACTCTGCAAAATACTCCCCGGAAAGGATAATAGCGCGTTCGTTCCCCACCATAGACACCTGCGGTCCAGAGTTTTGCAAATATCTCAGCAACGTTGTGGTTGTATTTCGCTTAGTAACCTGCCATGAAAATTATAGAAGGCAGAAAACAAAACGTTAAACATTGTGATTTCAACTACAGCCATAGCTTAACTGGGTTCTATGCCGATTTGTGCTCCCCAGATCAACCCCGCTGACGGGTGATTGCTGTGGCAAAAAGATCGATAGAAATAGCTGAGAGACGTGCGAAACAAAGGACCCGCATGGTGTGGTGGTGAACGCGTTACTCCCCGGAAAGGATAATAGCGCGTTCGTTCCCCACCATAGACACCTGCGGTCCAGAGTTTTGCAACTAATGGGATACTTGGATGAGTTGTCTTCACGTCAGTTGTGCATGCCATAGAATGTTTCCTTTTGCTTACTCCCTCTGCAAATCGTCTTTGATGGAGATGAGATGATCCATTTCATGCATGGTGCCATAACCTCGTATAAAAACGAGACACAATTTTGATTTTTTCGTAATTGATAATGTAATGTGATAGTCAGAATCATGCTAAGCAGTGGTTAAAATGGCGAAACAGTTATGTTAAGACAGAATTGGGAACTCTACTTAACGGTGGTAGTGTACGCTAGGTGAACTAAGATCGTTTTCATTCTGACCAACCAAACTCAAATACTGTCCTTTACTTATATGTTTTATCCTAGTAATACTATTGTTTAATCCGAAAGAAAGCAGTGGAAAAAATTTCCTGTTGTCCTTCACCTTTGTTCTTAGTTCTCCTGTCCCACAACCTTTTTTGCATTATGCATAAATACTATAAGCTAACCATTGAGGAATTTCTAATTCATGTGCTTCGATTTCGATTTTCAAGGACCAAACAATGGATTGCTGATCTCAGGTGTCGAGTGAGTCAACACGACGTTCGATGACGTTGGGAGGGCACACAGGAAGAGCACACCCGTCGCTTGCTAAGCTCAGGGACAACATTCTCAACGGTACCATAGACTTCGCCGAAGTTCCTATCGCTGAAATGAATCCAGAGGATATCAGGGTCAGTCACTAGTCACTTTCTCATATGGCTACAGGAGTTTTCATGATTTGCAATACTTCCGAATTTATGGGAGTTTCTATCAGAAGATATTCTCATAAAAAGCACAGTTTCACAGGAATGCAATGGATTACAGTAGGACTTCACTACTTCCAGGTCTAACTATCGACTAAGAAGTGGAAAAACCTATGCATTTTCCAACTTAAATTTTTCAATTTTAAGAAGAGTCGAGAAATTGTTGCTCGTGCATTATCATGGATCAAAACAAAGCCTGGTTTAATTAATTGTGTTACTACAGTTAATATTATTTAAACATTCTTGCACTGAAGTTACTAAATGTTCTGGTGAAAACATTTGCCTTTCCGAAATTCTTTAACGATGGCCTCCAGTGTTTCAACTTCTATTTACTGCTTATTCCTAAGAATAGACAGTAATTAAGAGTTGAACCTTTGTGATTTCGGCTGGAGCTTCAGCTTAACTGGGTTCAATTCCAGTTTATGCTTCCCAGATCATTGTCGTTTACGGAAAGGATGATTGATAATATCAGCGTTATGCTAAAAATTGGCTGAGAAAAAAGCAGAGCAAGAGCCTCGGTTGGTGCAGTAGCCCCTGATGAGAGCAACTACAGGTTCGTACCCCCAACCGAGGTCTCGAGTTTTGCTCATATCTTAGCATCCTTGCTATTTCTAATTTGAAATGATTTATTTTTCACTTCTACTCATTAACATTTGCACCGATACTTCCGTACATATGTGGTCTTATTGTGTACAACTATTTGAGTCACCTGTCGGTGTTGTTGCTTGCATGCTATTTAGCTTTGTAACAGTTATTATGCTACAGCTGCAAGAATTCTGCAAAGTAATTTAATCATTAAGATTTCCGTGCTGTCATCATGAAGACATTGAGTGAATTCCAGAACTTTTCGTAATGCACAATGTACAATTAGTTAGTAATTCAATTAATCATCGCGTCTTTCACGTTCCTCTACTGCGGATTGGATTTCAAACATTCGGTACGAAGTCATACTTTTCCTATGAGGCCTCTTGTTATTGATACTTTATGCGAGAAAGCACCCGTGTCGAGCTTGTCATACACCGCTGTGTTAGGTATGTTCTCCTCTGGATAGATGTTAAGAAGAATATGGAAAGTCTGATGTACTAGTTTATCGAGCCGAAACGTTCTGTCCAGGTTCTGGAGTTTTCTCCCTTACTCCCAAAACCTAAAATATATGTGTATAGTTGCCGCGATGGAACACAACAGTTTCTCTGCTCACTGTGGTGCTTTCTGTTAATTGTTGGCTCCAACTGGATAAGTTATTAGCGGTACTAGTCCGAATTCATAGTTTGATTTGATGCTAACACCCTCTCAGCGATACCCGATTTCGAATTTGCTGCTGGAAGACGGCCAATTTCCAGCCTTCGTGCACCTGTTGGTTTTTTAATTTTTTTGTAATTAGAGGACTCTGTTGGTTGTCAACAGCAATGGATTGCTGAAAATACTTTGTGCTATCGTTCTATGAGTATGAATAATGTTTATAGTGCTATTTACTATATGTTACTACGATCCATAGGGCGCGTGTGGCGCAGTGGTCGGAGGCGCCGTGCAAAAACCACGTGGAATCGATCCCGGTGCCCACGGACCACCAAGCCTTCCATCCCTCCGGAGTGGGCAAATTGTTACGAGACTTATCTGGGAGGATAGCAGCCCTGGCTCGATACATCGGTAGGCCACCGCGAATCATTGTAAGGACCAGATATGCATTCAATCACTTCCAAACGATGCTTAATGAAGTCCAATGCATGGCACATCCCTCAAGGATTGACCAACGCCGTGAGCCTTATCCTTTATCCTTTTACTACAGTCCATCATACAATAAAAACACATTACTGTTAACATCTGGAAGTGTTTTGCAACTTATAGGATGGGTCTCCATTTCAGTACTTTTTATATCCGCGCGTTCTATAGGATAACAAGCATTTACTACAGCATTTGGAATTGAAATAGTAGTCGATTAGACCTCAAATTTCTGGTTAGGGAATTCGTTTGGAAAGCGGTGTTTTGTATATTCCTAAGTGCGGGTTAGAGCTTTTCTCAACCAACGCCCAACGCAAGATATGTTCTACAATCTATCAATTGATAATAAATAATGTTGGAAAATAGTTCTATATGTTAAAATAAACCACCGGAAAGAAAGTGAGAGCTATAGACGTCCTACCAGTCTTACCACTCCTGTAAAACCGTTATGACACTTGAAGGTATTCGTCGTCCTTACCATCACACAACAACAACCCTGGTTTAGATAACTCCAAACGAATAATTAACGAAAGAGTATTAAGCAGCTTATAATATAAGGATCCCAAGCTCACCATATTTTTTCTATGGTCTATAGACCATAGTGGGACTTAGAAATCTTTTTTCTTTCCATTTCTTTGTTTATTATCCATTTTTCCTTCGGTGCATGTCAGATATGATTTTTCTGCACTTAAGAAGGGAATCACAAGCAAAAGTTCCATCTGCCACGTCTTTTTCGGGTAACTAATGCTGCTGCATCGGCACCGTATCGTATCAAGTTATCACATTCTCCTGGAAGCAGTTGATGGTTTAATACCAAGAATTCCATCCTAATAGTTTTTAATTTATAATTCCTAATAATAAATTCTATTCTACCGCTATGAAAAGCCTGTTCTAATTATAACAATTTTAACAGGTAACCTTTAGAAGAGACACTACTCTGTTCTCTTAAAAGTGTATATGATTTTCTAAACTATTCTTTCACCTAGCAATTCCCAAGATCGACTTTCTACTAACCTCTGCATTGATTGATAATTCGATGTTTTTCTTCAATAAGACGGGAAGTTGGTATTTTAGAATTTATTAGGATACAATAGCTGACGTTTCGGCAGTTTCGCCTTCTTCAGAGCCGTTTATTCGTTATTCGTGTCTGATTATTGAAGAAAAACATCGAATTATTCTTTCACTTTTAAAGTTCTGTACAGTTAAAATTTTGAAAAGCACTGAAAACATAACCACAACGATGCTGAGACATTTGAAAAATTCTGGACTACAGGTGTCCGCGGGGAGGATCGAATCCATTATTGCCCTTTACGAGGACTAACATGTTTACCATCACACCATGCGCGTATTTCGTTTCAACTTTCTCTCGGCCGTGTCTTATAGATGCCATCAGCTCAGCGATCACCCGTCAACGGGGTTGATCTGCGGAGCATAAATCGGCACCGAACCCAGTTAATACATAACCTATCATTCACACTATTTCACCTATTACCTTGCCATGAAAAATTATAGTACGCAGCAAATAAAAAGTTAACGTTGTGATTTCGACTACAGTCTCAGTTTAACTGGGTTCAGTGCCGGTCTATACTTCCAGAACAATCCCGTTGACAGGTGATTGTTTATACCACACATAAATTACAACACGGCTGAGATAAAAGCGGGATGAAGGGTCCGCATGGTGTGGTAGTGAACATGTTACCCCCGTAAAAGTAATAGCGGGTTCGGTCCCCACCACAGACACCTGCGGTACGGAGTTTTGCAATTATCTGGTTTTGTGCATCGGAACAGAAACGCTTATAATTTTACACAATACCCTACCGTGAAAAATTGTACTAGAAAGTAAATAAAACATTGACATAATGGAAACACAATTTGAATAGTTAAAGTCCTCAGCAAACGCTTCAGTTGCAAGCTTTCGTGGAAACTCTCACTTCTTGTTCCGACTATAATATTTTTAAAGTCATTCGAGTTAGTCTTTCGTGCTGTATTCTAAGCAAAGCAAAAATTTCCTTGCTATCGTAGCCAACCTTCATGTTATGCGTCGTCATTGGGATTAAAATTTCTTCAGAAAAACGTATAACCCGATTTTGATATGTGAACTGGCCGATTGTATCCTTTCAGCATACGCTGCATACCCCCTTTTAGTCTGTGGGAATTTCTGATTTCCTTCCACCACAACATTCTTGACGATGTGCATTGATTTCAGTGTATTTTCTTCATAGTTCTTTCTTCTACAGCATAGGGTTTTTTAGTGTACCAAACCGGTAGCTTCACTACAACACATATTTTCAGTGTCGTCCGAGAAAAGATACTTTTTGTACTTCGTAATTTACAAAAAAAACTATTTTCTGGAAGAGTTCGTTCGTCTCACTAAGTCCCGCGTCAAGACTATTAGCACTAAGGAGAGCAGTACGGCATCTTCAAGTATACCAAAGTTTCGGCATAGGTCCATAGATTGCGCGTTCATAGTGTACAGGAAACATTGTAAGTTTTGAACACTTATTTTATAACCTGTGAATCTTCTCATCTCTTCAGCAGGTCTCGGTTCACACAATTGACCCTTCTACCGTTTTTGTCGATTGGTCTCGTTCACAATTAAACTTCAAATATCAGTCGTAAATAATTCACAACAATGCATTGATTCTGTGCATCGGAACAGAAACAGTCGATTAACTCCAAAAGACAAAACGGCTGTCATTAAATTACGAATGATCCATTGCTCACCACTGCCCACTGATCTTGTCATCTTCCTTGGGATGCTTTTATTCACTTTCTCCAAACTGTTCAGTAGGACGACACAAAAACCTCCAAAGGCGTTTTAGCTTCTTATTTAATCTGACTGAAGAATTGATAAGGAATAAGTACATTTCGCTCTTCACCGTCATGTAATTGATTGTTCTTCTCTTCCCAATCACCATAATGGCTACTGGGTATATTATCGTACTAGAACCGTACAGAAAATGTTTTAAAAAAACCGTATTTAGTATTATAATATATTGTTGTATATTAAACAATATTTTAAAAAGGTTTTAAAAACGTAATCGTGGTTTAACGATGAACCTAAAGGAGCTAATTTTTTTCGTCGCATAGCAAAGATGGAAAAAATATTCCAAAAATGTGTGGTACATCTATGTAGAAGAACATAGAGGATAGGTGAAATATTTTTAAAAAAACAGTCGGAATAAGTGAAGAAATAAAAATAAGAACACATTGGAAAACAAGAAAGGAGTATAGCCCTTCTGGAGTGGGGAACTACGACAGATGCGCTGATTTCATTTCGCAGCGAAAATTACATGTCATCTCAGCCGCCGAAATTTGGGCATCGCTGGGAATGCGTCGAACATTTGATGAAATGCACAGAATATGGTGGATCATGATGTTATCTTGTCCCTATACTAATTGAAATGGCATCAACCAACAGAGACACAGGTGGAGTATGTCCGGAGTTCATAATAGGTTGAACTCGCGGCAGTGTGCCACCTCATTGTGCTGAAAAAACTACACGAAGTGTACCACCGAAGGTTTAAGCCCGCCCTTATTTTATCTTATAGTTATGGACGCATCTCATACCATTGCGACTGGTTAGCTCGATATTCCTATAATGCGCGAGATGTAATCGGGAGAGCTATATAAAAACAGTGAGAATAGCAATAAGAATAAACGCCTATGAACTTACGTGGGAATAATTGTGCGTCTGTAAAACAAGTAGGTACCTTTATGGAGTTTTAATATTGCTATTTCAGGCGGAGTTGAAGCGAGTTTATACACAGCTTCGAATGTATAAACTTAAGAATCTCTACCAAGACAATCCGCACATATCGAAGAAGCGCGGAGGAAAAAAGTGGAGTGACAAAACTGGGAAGGTGAGTGCTTCCACTTCCTATTTTCATTAAAAGAAATGTGGCAATGTTCTTATGGTAGTTGATTCTGGGGAACGGGTGCTGCGCTGACTGCATTTTTCCCACTTGTTGATTCAAAACTTGTGCTGTTTATTTCCCCACTTTCCGTTAGATATTACTTCGCAGTATTGTCACAAAGCGATGGTCAAATGCATCTTATCTATTGGAAACAAACTTCACGCTCAAACTTCATCATCCTTTTGTTTCCGTGTGGATTTTATATATTCATAAAATTCACCAGCTTTAACACAACTCTTCCTATGCACGCTATTTGGGCGCGTGTGGCGCAATGGTAGAAGGCGCCTTGCAACATACACGTGGAATCGATCCCCGCGCCCATAACCCACCAAGCATTCCATCTCTCCTGAATCGGCAAATTGGTACCAAACTTGTCTGGGAGGATAGCAGCACTGGTTCGATACATCAGTAGGCCACTCCGAATCATTGTAAGGGCCAGATATGCATTCAATCACCTCCAAACGATGTTTAATGAAGTCGAATGCATGGCGCATCTCTCAGAGATTGATCAACGTCGAGAGCTTTGTCGTTTATCCTTTATGCATGCTATTTACAATATCTACTCTGTTTAAAATATTAACTGCAGCATTTTTAATCCTGTGCTATTTAACACTTATTATTCATTATGGCTTGGATCTCCTCTACTTTAAAATCGAGTGTACGTTATATGTACACCCTCAATATTTGAGAAGAAGTTAACATTCGATAGTCAACAGCAGTTACACTTGTTGAGTTCCAGTTTTTGCACTACTGATTCATGTCGAAAAGAATATCGCGGTTCTTGTCGATTGAATCGTGTATTGATCTATCTTTTCTGAGGAATTTTTAGAAATCCAGAAAGTGGTGTCCCAAAATCCTAAGCAGTCATTTGCAGGCACGTCGTATCTCAATGCCGTCTACATCTCCACAGGGCACGAAGTCGCGTATCGAAGACGACGAGAAGAGTGATCTTACTGTCGAGTCTGCTCCTCACAACGTCTACCTTAGCACATATAAACTTCAGCTGGAGCCCAACCACTCCGTGCGGGTCTAATCGTCACTTGTTATTGTTTTGAATCTCACTCTGTGTCTCTCATCATACACCTATATGGTTATGCATAATTATCTTGGATGATATATTTGTACTTTAATAAAAGTTTAAATTTTATTGGTGGAGATGCTGATTTTCAAAAGTTTCTAAATCAAGCTTCGTTGAACTCAAGCTTGCCCAACCCGAAAACGGATGTGTTAGACTGCTTGTGTTTTCTCTGATGGGTAATATTTTTGGTAATAATAGAGTACTATGTGGTTATGAGCACATCTTCTCTCAACATGTAACGCAACAACCTTAGTCTTGCGTGGCTTTGGCGCCTAATTTCGCGCTATTTGCGGACTTGTAAAAGGATAAAACGTACGGCGTTGATCAGCCCTTTATAGATGTACCACGCATTCAACTCCATTAAACATCGTAGAGGTGACTGATTGCATATGAATGCGTCGTTTTCTTGTTCAGCAATTGCGAGATTGTTAAAAGGCATATATTTACTTCCATAGAAAAACACAACACAATACAACAGTGTCTGACCTTTCGTCAGTATCGCCTTCTTCAGAGCCTGGAAGGGCACACTGATATACAAACGCTTCAATAACACTTACAAAAAGACGAAAGACTCCATGGTAATTACATGATCAACAGCTCGAAAAACACCGATTTTTTTTCGTGACTTGCAATGAGGATAATTAGAACAACTGATTATAGTCGCCTATGATTGATGACTGCACCACCACTCGTCAGAAATTGATGCGAAGATACGGAACCAGGTCGCTTGTGACCTCTGGGCATTCCTACCCGCTATTCATTGTAGGGTTTTTGGCATTTATCCAGTAAGCCTCAAGAAGTTCTCGCGCTGGTGTTTTAGCCTCCAGTGCAAGGATATTGACTTTTACTTCAAAATCGTCTCCTCTATGCTTTTGTATTCTATGCGCGCCTAGTGAGGTGCTTCGTCTTAGTTTCCGTTTGCCATCTAGGTGTTCTTTTATGCGGATACACAAGAGTCTGCCCATTTCGCCAATATATTCACCTGCGCAATTATTACAAGAGATTAGGTATATCGTACCTGAACTCATGCAATCACCGTCTTTGCCGTAAGGGCAAATTACGCAATTGTTGTTTCACATAGATGGTCATACAGGCGGTTACGAACTAACTGACGACGTAGAGTAGCCGGTGTTATTTCAACTATCGCTGCCGATCCCTCTAGACCTGCACTTCTTAAACATCGTTTAATAGCTACTCTCACTTCATTGCTAATAAAAGGCAACATAAACGGGACTTTCTTTGGCCAACTGTTTCGAGTGGGCGCGTCGCTTTCCTTCTAAACTTATCACGTGGGGTTACTATTTCGTAACCATTGGAGATGGCCAAGTTTTTTTTTGCCGAGCCAAGTCACGCGATTCTTCCTTTAGTTCCCTGGTAGTGCACACAGAGTTGGTTGTTCGAGCCATGTTTCTCACAATCGCCCTCTTTGTGTGTGAAGGGTGGGAAGAAAGGAAATGAACGAGGATGTTCTTGTTACTTGGCCTTCGGTATCACTATAGGTTTATTTAAACGTTTAAAAACGGAAGCCAGTTTTTTCTCGGTTTCTTCCGAGTCAACTTTATGTACTCAAACTGCTCGTTCAATATTTCAAAGCATTTGTCCATCTCCTCCTGCGTAGAGAAGACGACAAAACAATCATCTACATATCTGCAGTAGAGTAGTGGCCGGAGATCGAGAACAGGGGCTTCTATCTTAGGCATAAACACAATGGCAAGGCTTGGTGCCAGCCGCTGTCCCATTGCCAACCCCCTTGTTTGCGCGAAATGTTTCCCAAACCGTCTGAAAATCGAGCAATTTAGGCACTTTTTTAAGAGAGCCATAGGCTGCTGGATGGACAAGCCATGCATATTTATTCTTCTTTCATGTTCAACAAGAAGTTCGAAGATGGCTTGCATTGCGGAATCATTCCACACGTTGGTGTACAGCGCAGTAACATCGAAGGACTCCATCACGTACGCGTTATTAGGAGACGCTTTACGTAGACGTTCTAGGAACATTTGGGTGTTTGTGAGGTGAGCTGGAATGTGGTTAAGCAACTGGGTAAGTATTAGGCTTAAAAGGCAGGATATTTTATCCGTTGGCCCGTCTACACAGTTGATGATGGGTCTAACCTTAAATGATGACGGATTGGTTGACGCAAGATCATAAGATGATACCAACTTATGTGTTTTAATAAGTAGGTATAGGACGGGACATGTTGGTCTATCGATTCTCTCCTGAAAACACCACTTCATATAGCAGTGGAAAGAGGAGAGGTTAGTCTCTCAACGAAGCCTTAGATACTTTGGATATTTCTGAGATTCTGTCGCACAAATATAGATATAGATATTCATGTAGTTGCTGATTGCCAATAGCGCATAGGTCAATAACAAGGCTGAGTGAAAGGCCAAACGAAGCTCTCGCATGGTGTGGTGGTGAACGCGTTAGCCGCCGAAAAGGATAACGTCGTGTTTTGTCCCCACCGGAGACGCCAGCGTTCCGGAGTTTTGAAAATATCTCAGCACCATTATGGTTATATTCATGTAGTTGTTATTCCGAAGTTTGAAGTCGTTTTGCTTTCCGTTGTTCTTTTTGCTTGCTCATTTTCACGATTGTTTTGATTTTAACTCTTTTATTTACTGCCTTTTTCTTCTTAATGGCAGGGTATGTTGCGAAATATAGCTCGTATGAAATGCTGAGATATTTGCAAAACTCCGGACCACAGATGTATGCAGTGGGGAACGAACACCCGCTGTTGTCCTTAGCGGGGAGCAGCGCTCTTCACCACCACACCATCCGGGTCCTTCGTCTTGCCTGTCTCTCAGCTAGTTCTACCATTAACTGGGTTCAATGCCGATTTGGACTTCCCAGGTCAATCCCGTTGACGGGTGATTGCTGATGGCAAAAAGATCGATAGAACTAGCTGAGAGACAGGCAAGACGAAGGACCCGGATGGTGTGGTGGTGAAGAGCGCTGCT